TATATATATATATATATATATATATATATATATATATATATATATATATATATTATAACCGCCATTTTAATATATTAGAAAAAACAAATCAGTGCATAATGCATGCGTTTACCGCATGCATATATTCCTTAATAAAAAATAAATAAATTTTTGTTGCTTTTTGTTTTTTTTATTTGTCTCCTTTTTACTGTCTCCTTTTAGTTGTCTCCTTTTTACTGTCTCCTTTCAACTGTCTCTCTTTGTGGGGTTTTTTTATGTGTCTCCTTTACTGTCTCCTCTCAGCTGTATCTCTGTTCTCTTTATCTATCTCCTTTTTTTTGTCTCCTTTCTGCTGTCTCCCCCACTGCTACTCTCCTGCTTGATGCCTATTGACACGCTGTGTCTGCTGCACTTCTAACTGTTTGCTGCTGCTGCTGCTGCTGCTGCTGCTGCTGCTAACAAACTGCTGCTGCTGCTGTTAACAATATGCTGCTGCTGCTGCTGCTGCTGGTGCTAACAAACTACTGTTGCTGCTGCTGCTAACAAACTGCTGCTGCTGCTGCTAACAATCTGCTGCTGCTGCTGCTGCTGCTGCTAACAAACTGCTGCTGCTGCTGCTGCTAACAATCTGCTGCTGCTGCTAACAATCTGCTGCTGCTGCTAACAAACTGCTGCTGCTGCTGCTGCTGCTGCTGCTAACAATCTGCTGCTGCTGCTGCTGCTGCTGCTAACAAACTGCTGCTGCTGCTGCTGCTGCTAACAAGTTGCTGCTAATGAGGAGTCTAGGGCAACTACAACCCAACCGGCCAGCGACCGCTTCAACAGCTGCAACTGCAGCAGCAGCAGCAGCAGCAGCAGAAATATGCTGTTTGTCTTTACTTATGTGCGCTTTCGTGCTGCATATGTCTTAGGAAAATCTATACCCCTCTCAGCGCAGCAGTCCGCCGCGCTTCGCAGCAGCAGCTGCTGCTTCAGCTGCTGCAGCAGCTGCTGCTGCTGCAGCTGCTGCAGCTGCTGCAGCTGCTGCTGCAGCTGCTGCTGCTGGTCAAGGAATGAGCGCGCCGAATACGCTGGAGTCCGCGCGCCTGTTAATGCTGCCACTCGCATTGCTGCTGCTGCAGCAGCTGCTGCTGCTGCTGTTGCTGCTGCTGCTGCTGCGGTTGTTGCTGCTGGCTGGCGATGAGCCAGCAGCAGGCAGAGCCCAGCGCTGCGGGTCGTGCAGCAGGTAGTAGGGGAACCACCCCTTTCTAAGGAGACAAAAAAAAACACACACACACAAAAGGAGACAGTTGAATGTCTACTGAATATATATATATATATATATATATATATATATATATATGTAAGAGAGAGAGACAAATATTTATATAGAGG